AAATGTTAAATTCTCTGTAGCAACTACATTCCACTGCAAGCAAAGCTTACTTCAAGGTAATGCAAGATCTGCAGTCTTAGGGCTCCACCAGGGTAGCAAACGACATGAGGACACACCCGGAAGAGCTCTGGCGCCTACGGACACTTGCTTGCTGACAATAGAATACGAGTTTGGTGGGGGAGCCTTCAGGATCCACAGCGGTCAGACCTGCGTATGCTATAGATTTACACGCAAACGCGTCCAATATCCTGCAGAGCACGTGCGCAGGACGATCGTGGAAAGAGCGAAACGTAGAACGTATCTCTAGCTTTGCTCGCCCGAAGTGCACTGAGCGCAACGTGAACGTGCACTTGGTTTCGCCATCGTTCTGCAGCCAAGCTTACCGCATCGCGGAAACACGCGCTCGTCAAACAAGCGAAATCTATACAGTTCCCTGAAGGTGTTCGGGGATTGGCTAGGCTTTCACTCTGCGCATACCTATTTGCCTACACTATACCATACAACATTATGCTAAGTATGGCTACACAAGCTCTTTCATAGAGTAATGAGCCACAGATATTAGGCTAATTCTACAATCAACACACTGGTACAGCAAAGTTTACGGTGGCACCTGGGCAGCGCACACCGATTTGGGGCTCCTCATTTCGGCTTGTCTTGTTCACTACGAACGCCGAGCGCTTGGGCGGTGCGTGAGTGCGTGGTATTACATGATTATAATAAATTTATATCTACAACACACAAAAATCCTCGACGATGACAGCTATCGGGCAAGAGTCGACAACGAAAACAGTATTCTTTACTCAACCAAACCTATCGCACTGACGCATTAGAAAGTATAATGTGGTTTCTCATTCTCTTGAGCTGTTGCTTCTTATTTTATTATAATGTCGCCATACTCTTACATGGCCAGGCTCGCCATGATGATCTAGTGGTTACGGTGCTTGACTTATGACACGCAGTTTACGGGGTCGAATCTCCGCCACGCCGGCCGCATTTTCGATGGTGGTGAAAATGCTTGAAGCTTCTGTGCTTAGACATGGGCGCACGTTGATAACCTCAGGTGGTCAAAATTTCCGGAACCCTCCACTACAGCATTCCTGGAACTGCATTATATGATAGTTTGGGGATATTGAACCTAATTCATTATTGTCATTATCTTCATCATCATCATCATCATCAGCCTGACTACGTCCACTGCAGGACAAAGGCCTCTCCCATGTTTCGCCAGTTAACCCGGTCCTGTGCTTGCTGCTGCCAATTTATACCCGCAAGCTTCTTAATCTCATCTGCCCACCTAACCTTCTGTCTCCCCCTAACCCACTTCCCTTCTCTGGGAATCCAGTTAGTTACCCTTAATGACCAGCGGTTATCCTGTCTACGCGCTACATGCCCGGCCCATGTCCATTTCCTTTTCTTTATTTCAGCTATGATATCCTTAACCCCCATTTGTCCCCTAATTAACTCTGCTCTCTTCTTGTCTCTTAAGGTTAGACCTACCATTTTTCTTTCCATTGCTTGCTCCGTCGTCCTCAATTTAAGCTGAACCCTCTTTGAAAGTCTGCAGGTTTCTGCTCCGTAGCAAAGTACCAGCAAGATACAGCTGTTATATACCTTCCTCTTGAGGAATAGTGGCAATCTACCTGTCAGTGAGCTACATGGCCTTGCAACTTCACTTGCCGATGAGTGTTTGAAGGGACCAAAATCAGTTTAGAGTGATGAATTGGTATTCTTTGAGAGCTCTTACTATTGTCAATTTTACGGTCAGGTGTCCGTTATTCAGTGACAATATCGTTGCATTGATTCTTGAATTTCGCGCCCAAGCTTCGGCACCTAAATCATTCTGCGATCTCTCCAAATGAGTTTCGACTGTAATGAGCCATGCAAGTGTCAGTATATTCTATCTAAATCTGTGATGCCATAGGAAGTTGGTGTGGGAACCTCGAGCTATTATCACCTGTATATTCTTTTTGTGTGTTTTCAGCCTAAGTGAGGGTCTTCTTATTGCAGGCGTCGTGCTTCAGATAATGAGATAAATATTCCTCTTTAGTGTGCCCATAACATTTCAGTCTTGAACTATGGAGAAGATTGTGCTGATTGACAAACAGTTCCTCTCCTGCTCAATGCAATCGTGCTATCCCGCGGCTTAGCAGAAGGCCGTGGGTTGAGTTCCTAGTTAGTGTATCCGCATACTGATTGCGAAGGACTCAAACCTTGGTATAACATACATGCATATTACCAACTATCGGTTTTAATGAAATGAATAACAGTTCAGTCATACATAGTATTGATAGATAGTATAGGGTGTGGCGATGGCGTAGTGGTTAGAGCATCCGCCTCGCATGGAAGAGGTCCGTGGTTCAAATCCCGGTGCCGCGCAGTTTCTAACCAAATTTTAAAAAAAAATCTGCGTATTGATGGAACTGCATTAAGAAGGCCTGGGGTGCGGCCTCACCGGTAACCACTGCCGGGAATGCCCTCCCTCACCAGAGAAGGATTGGCCACCCTGGTGCAGTATCTGGCCACTACCTCTCACATGCATACGTCAAATAACTCACGGCCCTCAGTTCCCAGCAGCTGTGAAGCAACTGACCACGGCGGCGGTCAGATCTGCAACGCAGCAGAGGGTGCTAAGAATCTCCGGATCCGGACAGGCCGCCATTAGAACCTGAACTTGGCAACGTTTAACGCTAGAACCTTATCTGGTGAGGGAAGTGTAGCTGCACGATTCCAGATCTAGAGGGTATTCAATGGGATATAATAGGGCTCAGTGAGGTTAGGAGGACAGATGAGACCTATACAGTGCAACAGAATGAGCACGTTCTTTGCTATCGGGGCTTGGCAGACAGAAGAGCACTGGAGGTTCCTAATCCACATAAACCTAGCTGGCAACATAGAGGAAGACTATAGCATTAATGAAAGGGTGGTAGGTGTCGTAAAGAACTGACTAAAAGATACAAGATGAAGGTAGTAGAGGCTTACGCGCCTACATCAAGCCATGATGACGCTTCAGTCGAAAGCTTCTATGAAGATGTGGAATCGGCAATGAGTAAGGTAAAAACAGAGTACACTATAGTGATGGGCGACTTTAATGCAAAGGTAAAGAAGAAGCAGGCTGGAGACCAGGCAGTAGGAGAATATGGCATCAGCACTAAAAACGACAGAGGAGAGCTGCTAGTAGAATTCGCAGAACGCAATATTTACGGATTTTGATTATCTTCTACCCAAAACGTGAAAACCGCAAGTGGACATGGAAGAGCCCTAATGGCGAAAATAAGAACAAAATAGACTTTATAATGACTGCACACCCAGGAATTGTGCAGGATGTGGAAGTGGTTGGCAAGGTACGATGCAGTGACCATAGAATGGTATGGTCTCGAATTCACCTAGACTTGATGAAGGAATGGCAGAAACTGATACGCAAGAAGCCAATCAATGAGTTGGCACTGAGAGGGAAAGTACAGGAATTCAGAGTGTCGCTGCAGAACAGGTACTCGGCTCTTAGTGAAGAAACCAACGTTAGCGTAGATACAATGAATGATAATCTGACGAGTATTATTACGGAGTGTGCAGTGGAAGTTGGAGGCAGGGTAGCTAGACAGGACACTGGCAAGCTTTCCCAGGAAACAAAGAACCTAGTTAAGAAGCGTCAAATCATGAAAGTGTCAAGTACAACACACAAAATAGAACTGGCAGAGCTTTCGAAGTTGATTATTAGCCGTAAGGTATGCGATGTAAGAAGGTATAACATGGAGAGAATTGAACACGCTCTGAAAAACGGAGGAAGCGTCAAAGCAGTGAAGAGGAAACTTGAGATAGGCCAAAGTCGGATGTATGCACTAAGGGACAAAGAAGGCAAAATAACTACCAATATGGATAGGATAGTTAAAATAGTAGAGGATTTTTACAAAGATCTGTACAGTAGCCGACACAACCACGAACTTAATACTACAAGAACTAGCAGTAACCCAGATGACACCCCACCAATAATGATAGAAGAAATCAGAAAAGCTTTGGAGAACATGCAAAGAGGCAAAGCTGCTGGTGAGGATCAGGTAACATCAGATCTGCTGAAAGATGAAGGACAGATTGTGTTAGAAAAACTAGCCACCCTGTTTACGAGGTGCCTCCTGACGGGAAGAGTACCAGAGTCTTGCAAGAACGCTAACATCATCTTCATATATAAGAAAGGAGATGACAAGGACTTGAAGAATTACAGGCCAATCAGCTTGCTCTCTGTGGTATACAAGCTATTTACAAAGGTAATTGCTAACAGAGTAAAGAAAAGATTAGAATTCAATCAACCAAAGGAACAAGCGGGATTTCGATCAGGCTACTCAACAATTGACCACATTCATACTATCAATCAGGTAATAGAGAAATGCTCAGAGTATAACCAACCACTATACATAGCCTTCATAGATTACGAGAAGGCGTTTGATTCAGTAGAAATATCAGCCGTCATGCAGACACTGCGGAATCAGGGTGTAGATGAAGGATATATAAACATTCTGGAAGATATTTAGGGGATCAACTGCTACCATAGTGCTTCATAAAGAAAGCAACAGAATACGAATCAAGAAGGGTGTAAGGCAGGGGGACACAATCTCCCCAATGCTATTTACCGCGTGCTTTCAGGAGGTTTTCAGAATCCTAGAATGGGAACAGTTAGGGATAAGAGTTAATGGAGAAGAACTTAGTAACCTGCGCTTCGCCGATGACATTGCATTGCTGAGTAACTCAGGGGACGAATTGCAACTCATGATTACGGAGTTAGATAAGGAGAGCAGAAAGGTGGGTCTTAATATTAATCTGCAGAAGAGGAAAGTATTGTACAACAACCTCGGAAAGGAGCAGCACTTCGAGATAGGTAATAGTGCACTTGAAGTTGTTAAAGACTATGTATACTTAGGGCAGGTAATATCCGCAGAGCCGAACCACGAGATTGAAATACCTAGTAGAATAAAAATGGGGTGGAGCACATTCGGTTAGCATTATCTTACCTGAGCCATAAGGGCTGGCAGGAACCTCTCCCGCAGCACGGCCTCGCACTGTGCCTGTGGTGCGCCCTGTTGTCGCATCTGTCGTAGCCGGTCAGCCTGCCTGGCAGCCAAGGCTTCAAGCTTGGCGTACGCTTCTTCCGGTGCCGTCTGCTGGGCAAGCAGGGCCTCCAGAAACTCGTACAGGAATGGTGGCAGCAGTCTGCGATGGTCATGAGACCACTCTGGAGCAATATTATTTTTGGTTTTCAAAAAAAAATACCGTCAGTAGTTCCTAACGCCTCTTTCCAGTTGGTCGTGCATAAGCAAATAATTTTATACAGGTGGGTGTTTACGTGTAGTCACAGATCACTATTTATTTCTAGCTTTTATTACATGAATATTTCTTGAAATTCTTGTCCACCTTACTCTTCATTTTCTGTCAGTTCTTGGTAATATATTTTGGCTTCCTTGCTATCCTCCGCTTCTCCGTTGTGAATTCCAGTTGCACCGAAGGCTTTATTATTACCGATGTTTTTGTGTTGTATTTCACTCACTTACAGTTACGTTGTTTTCATTTTTCCGCAGCGAATTTTTAAGAGCCATTGAACGCGCTTCAGCAAAAGAAGGGCGTCACGTAGATAGAGGCGTGCAATACAGACGCTTACGGTGAGGGCCGACAATTGAGGACGCTCAAAGCAGGATGGGGCTCTAAAGAGGAGACACGACAATGTAAAAAAAGAAGTCTTCATTTACCGTGTCTCAGTTTCCTTAAGTTTTCTGTATATTTTTCAAGATCACTTGCCATCAATATTATTGTGCAGTCAACGGTTCCACAACCCCGCAGGCCGTCTGCGCAAGCAGGCGTTTGGTGCGTTGCGACACCATGGAGCCGAGCTGAAGGGGTGGGGGGGGGGGGGGGGGTTCAACTCCCTTCCTTCCACGCATAGCCGTGCGTGGCTGCCCCCGGTCCAAGGAAAATGGGATCCTGAAGTTGAGCCGATGCTGGGTGGTTCGACCTTTAAGGTTCTCTGGCGCAGGCAACACACTCCGTTGGACATGGCTCTGCGTACATGGCACCCCTAGGCGGACTCACTCAGGGGAAATCGGCAGTCGCCTTCTCGTATCTTTCTCACCCTATATCTTCGCCTTTCTTTCATTTTACTCTTTGCTGTCTTCTACTAACTTCATTTACTTATTGTTTTGCTGGCGTCAAGGGTTAACCATGTATAGTTGCTCTACTTAGGGCAGACATGTTTGGTTATAGCGGCGATGCATGGCTGGCGTCTCCAAGTGTTTTTTATTCAAACTTGTACGTCTACTTGGTGGACTTGGTGATGGGTGGCCACCATCGCCACCGAACTTTAAATGCTTCTTATGAAAAAATGTTTTTCCGCACTACCTGAATGCTGCGTAAAAAACGCACCGATGACAGCTTCTTTTTTGCACAGCCCGAAGAGACCTTTCCTTGGTACAACATAATTAAAAGTCAGATGAACAGAAAATACTCCGATTCATTTCACCAGTCACTGTCTCAAAAACTCTCCCAGATGAAATAGGCTCAAGCTACAAAGTGAGAATACGGGAACTGGTGATCTCCTTCTAGAAGTTCGCGACAAGACCCACTACGACAAGCTCTTCAAACTTGTAGCATTTGGTAACATCCCTGTACCAGTGAGCCCACATAAGTTGATGAACACAGTGCGTAGTGTCGTATCTGATGATGACCTCCTCGCCCTATATGAAAGCGAGTTGCTTGAAAGATGGCAGGAACAGAATGTAGCGAAGTGATTTATTTGTGGAGTTTAATGTCCCGAAACCACCATATGATTATGAGAGACGCCGTAGTGAATGGCTCCAGAAATTTCGACCACCTGGGGTTCTTTAACGAGCCCTCAAATCTGAGCACACAGGCCTACAACATTTCCGCCTCCATCAGAAATGCAGCCGCCACTGCCGGGATTTGGTCTCGCGACCTGCGGGTCAGCAGTCGAGTACCTTAACCACTAGACCACCAAGACAGGGCAAAATGTAGAAAAGTGTGAAGAATAACACTAAGGCGAGATGAAAAACTAATCGCAACAAAGCACATAAGAATTACCTTCAGAACAGGCAACCTCCCCGACACTATTCAAACTGGTTACTGTAAGCTTCGTGTAAGACCTTGTGTGCCAAATCACCGCGAATTTTTTAAGTTCCAGCGCTTTGGACCCGGGTCCCAAGCGTTCAGAGGGCGCGTTAGGTGCGCGAGGAACGCATCTTGCGAAAATGCATACAAGTGCACTTCAGAAACCTTTGCGCTAACTGGAACGGCGATCACAACGCCTAATGCTGCTCATGCTTCGCATGAAAAAAAAGAACAAATATTATACCTCGGGGTCAAATTCAACCTAAGATTCGAAAAGGCACTGCAATCCTTTTCTGCACAAAAGCGTTCTTATCCTTCCTTCGCCAACGTGGCGCGCCCGGGCGCTGTGCCACGGTTTTCGGTGCCCACGTGATTGGTGCCAAGTGTGACCGCAGTTGCGCCAGCAGCGCCTCCAGCAGGACTAGTCTTTTCTGCTTTGCCTCCTGCTCAAAAGGGCCAGCAGACTACCTAGTCTGCCAAACCCCGGGCCGCTGCAAGAGCAGTCAGGACCTATATCGCCATGTTGGAGCGCAACAAAGAGAAACGCCGTATTACAGGGCTCCCAAAGGACCCTGTAACTTGAGCCTACACATTTTGTACACAAATCACCGAACTGCAATAAAATGAGGACACAAATACAACAGTGGAACGTCTCAAGGCAGGACAACGCGTCGTCAGGCCACGAGGGAGTTCTGGCAGAAGTTTTTATCGACATGAATTCATATACACATTACGCGAGAGTCTAGAGCATGGTTAGTAGGGTAGCAGGAGGAGAACAACATTCGTTTTCTCTAGTTAACACACACGGCAACGAGTTCGAAGTCCAGGTGAATTGTAATGGGTGACTTTTCGAACAGGTCTGCAGTTCATCTCATTACACTGAAGCGTTCCAATGATACGAAGCCAGAATGCGAAAACAAATAATAAAACGCAAAACCACAAACCATGAAGCATACAATGAAGCCTTCGTCTTAGCAGAGCTAGAAGTGTCGCTAAACTGCTGTAATGAAACCACTCTTGGCTCAGGCCGTATAGTATACGAAATGCTCGAACGTCTGCCCGATGAAACCTTCCAAAAAACCTCCTTCCCTTGTATATGGTTTGTGTATGATTTTTTGGCGAGATTCCTTCCGCCTAAAAGCAGCCATTATTATTTCGATCCTTAAGCAGGGTAAGGACCCACCTTAAGCATCAAGCAACAGGTCCATACCTTTGACGAGTTGCCTTTGCAAGTTGTTTCAGAAAATGATAAACAGGCAAGTGATGCGATTCCTCAAAACTAATGGCCTACTTGACCCATACAAGTGCAGAGTTCGAGAAGCTAAATCCACTACTGACCACATTGAGGCACAAATTTGTGATGCTTTCATTCATAAACTATTCTTTCTCTCAGTGTTCCTCGATATTGAGAAGGCCTATGACACAACGTGGCGTTTTGGCATACTTCCATACCTGTAAAACGTAGGTGTTACACCTGAGTGTTACACCGGGCTGCGTACTGCAGGTAGCAAACAGAAGTGCCCTGACGAATTGTGCAGTGCTGCCCACACGGTGAGCCAAGCATCCCAAAAGAGGTGCTTATTCAGCATCTGTGACTAACTCAAAGGTAATGTGCAAAGTTCCATTTAATGAAGAAGAGTGTTGTTTTGAGCTTGTCATGTTGAAGTGAAAGTATTGCAAAATAAGTGAGGGTACACAGAGTAACGTCAGGATGTATGCTACCTACCATCTTAACATTATTCATGCCAAAGTGTTAATTATGTGCACCCTTTATTTGAGGGAGAAGTACGATGGTTTCCATGAATGAGCATAGTTGGAAATCGCTGCACAACCAGTCACTGTGCTTTTCCCACTAATTATTATGTGGCCCTTATTCTTGTGACCTCCCACTGACAAAAAACTGCTTCATATAAACAACAGTAGAAGAGCTTTTGCTAGCTATAATAGGAAATTATTGTTATCATAGTTTTTAGTTTCAATAAGTCAAGCTGTAGAAGAGTACTCCACCTATTTGTCACCATGGCAAGTGCATTTCGTCGGGAAACGTGACTTGCTTTCGCAAATTGTTGTCTTTCTGTAGAATGAGGTACTGGCAAGTGGAATTTTGCAAAAACTAAATACTTTATTGTTTCTTGCATCAAGCATTGTTATCGTTTTTGTAAATACATGCATAGTGTGAGGAATAGGGACCCACTTTGAAATTTAAAACCTTATCATTGCAATGTGTTGGGCTGTCTTTTTTGTATGCGACTTGTTTCTGCCAATTATAAACCTAGTTTTTACAATTTTTCAAGGTAAATTGCTGATTTTTCTTTGTACGTTCGCAAGCACACTTTAACCTCTGATGCTAAACCACAGGCGTAATTGGTGTGCCTGATTCTTGTCTAGATATTTTATAGAATACCTAAAATGGACTCTTCTACTTGGCGCAATTATTCGCTGCTGTGTGCATGCTCTAGTCAATTAAACATAAAGTTAGAGAATGAAGCTGGTAGCATTGAATACTCTGTTCAGACTCTTGTATACACTGCGAAACCTTGCTGGTGCCAAAATTTGTTGTGAGTGTACGGTGAAGTGACTGGTAGCTAGCAATACTGCATTGTTACAGCTAATTGCACAATGGAGCGTTTTTAAGCTGCTCACGTAACTCGAGCAGATGTCAATCATGTTCACTGTGGTACGACATAGCCCCAAATTCATGCATTTGCATCCTGCATGCAAGAAACCCTTATGTGAAGCAACATGATGTGATAGGGGTGGCTCAGTGAGAACTGGGTTTTCTCTGTCAGAATCATTACACAGATTTGCTAAATGCACTCGAGTAGATTCAGAAGGCACTTGCAGCTACAGACTCAGTAGTAACAACACATTTCACTAGTAGAATCACCTAGCTGTATATTGCATTTTCCGGAAACTTCATTATTTTGTGACACCTTAGCGTCACAGCTTGGTTACTCTTTTCTTGGTTGTGGGACATTACAAGATTGATAATTTCATATATCTTGCAAAAATATTCAATTTTTATATTGTATATTGATTTTATGCTTTTCAACTTCTTCCTCCTCAACTAAAGCTTAACTTTAGCTGGATTGTCT